GCCCTGCCCTTAACTTCATCTCTCTCCACAGATTCACCATCAGATTCGGGTCAGGACTGTTTAGAGAGAATTTAGAGAGACCAATCAACCTGACAGTCATGTTTTTGGACTGTGGAGAAAACCGCAATACCTGGAGACAACCCACGCATGCAAACTCCATGCAGAAAGAACCTGGACCGGGGTGTGAACCCAGGACCTACTTGCTGAAAGGCAACAGTGCTCCACTCCAAAATGTCAACATTATATCCAATGAAAAGCAACATGTTGGTAAAATCAAAGCATTACTTTAAACTTAAATATACCTTTGAACATAAATATTTTTGGGCTGAATTGCTGATCTGGAGTTTCAGAGACTAAATGCTGTTTCATTGTTCACTGTGCCATTTATATTTTCACTTCATAGTAAATTTTCACTTTGCATTCTTTCAAAGAATGCTTTTAAGGCCATGTTTTCTCAAGATCACTGACATACTGACAATCATGTATTTTCAATTTGAGGTTTTGCAGCATTTTTCTTAATTAGGTAAACTATTACTATCATCCTGTCTTTCTGGTGACATACCACAAACCTTCACTTGGGATAGCCTTACTTCTCAGTCTTTGCACTTCTGACTCAACTTCCCCAACTTTCAAAAAAAAAAAAAAAGGGATACTTATTTAATCACTAATCCCTTTTCTATTTTACAGCACTGCACCACATTTCCTGTGCTTTGACATTGCTGTTTCTACATTTTATTCTATGAAAAGTGTTGTCAGTATCAAAATGTGCATGCATTTCTTTGACAACTATTTCTGAGCAAGAATTATTCATATTCTTTTTACATTGATTAATTACTGCAACCTGTTCTAATCACACTTTACACTGGAACAAATTCATAGTAAATCGTGATTCCAATTTTCAAGAAGGGTGTGATACTCATCTTTGAGATGTTATTCATCCAAAACATGAACACTATTTCATTTAAAGTAAAAGTCAGTTCCAGTCATGTACATGTAAGCATTTGCTCTGAAAGATGATGCATATATTAGTCAGTGTTACACTCTTTGACTGACATGGCTGAGATTTTTCACCGTTGCAGCTTCATTCAACATAATGCTCTACTTCCAGAAAGGGGAAGAGAAAAGTGTCTGGAAGGGGTTGCAGATGGGTGGGAGAGTCTATACAGAAAATGTCTCGTTGCATGACCAGCCAAAAGAAATCAGACAGCTGGCACTACATGATTATGCCTGTCTCTACATACCCTAATAGTAATGTCTGTGCTTTCTTAACTGTCTGTGCAGATGGAACAAAAAACACAAAACCCTAATTTTTGTTGTTTTCAAACCCTTTTGAAAGTAATTTGCTTTATTTCTGCATAGGATGTAAATACTTAGAATTTAACTTCTTTTTTCTCAACCATTTAAAGTCGTATGGTAGAGTAACAGAAAACATTTTATTGCCAGAACCTTAATGGCAAATGTAGAGAACCTTCCTTTGGGCTTAATCGTCAGCATGTTTTTGAGCTAAACAAAACATAAATGATTTTCTTTGCTTGCTGTCAATTACTTAGTACCTCATGCTTGCTACTTTGTTTAGGCTGCACACAAGACTAATGAACTGCCTCCATTTAGCTGTCTGCACCAGTTGTGTTTCTGCAGGCAGGGACACGTGGACAGGACAACTTTTCTGCAGAAGTCTCCACAGGGAGAAGGGTGGGTGGGAGTGAGTGTGTGTGTGTGTGAGGGGAGGCTCATTTTCGTCTTCAGAAGTACATAAATTTCTGTCCTTGTGCTGCAGCTGGTTAACATTAACCCTCGGCACCAGTCTTGCAGCTCAGGTCGTACACTATCTTCATTCGCACAGATGATTGTAACTGCACAGTCCTCATCTCTCATTGTGAATCAGGACTTAAGACAAGCTTTCATTTTGATGCCCTCCCTCACCCCATCTTCCCACCCCACAAAAAAAGATGCTCATTAATTCCAGTTGCCAATGTGGATCTTGTTTGTTTAGCTCTAAATTTTGCATCCTGATTACAAAATAAATAAATAAATAAATGAACGAAACACAGGTATTAATATGAAGTTTTTCACTTGTTCTAAAAGCATGGAAGTTGCTATAATTGCAGTGTTTTTTGTTGGAAATAAGTGTTTTCAAAGCAACATAATTAAGAGCATGTTTTGAAACCGTATACACGAGGCACTGAATCATCTATACTTGGCTTTACTTTTGTTGGCTGAAGTTTCACCCCACCTCCAGACTCCAGACTCCAGACAACTGTTCCGGTAAGAGCCTCCTTCCAGATTAATTAAAAGACATAACACATATTCTTACTCATGCACTCAGATGTCTATGTGAGAGGCTCTTGTTTTATATATATAGAGAGATTTTAACAGACTTAGCACTGTGCATGGTTGCTTTTGATAAAATCTAGTAAAGTAAAGAAACATCAATCAGGGCATCTTTATTCATATACTCTGAAATTATATTAGGAGCATATTTGTTCAGCATACAGCACCATTCACACCCAGGAGGTTGTAACTGTTACCATCTTGAAGGCTGAAACTGGATGTTTGCACTATAGACAAAAGAAAAACCGTTGAGAGTCGATGTCTGTTATCTGTAGAAAATGTCATTATACAAAAAAAAAAATAAATGTGTAAGATAAAAAAATAATTGTCATAATAAATCTGCAGCATTCCGGTGATTTAGAACTGAGTTAAAAGGCTATTTTCCATTAGGCTACATATAAAAATGCTTCTCAAGAAACGTTCTGCATTATTATGTACACTATTGTCTGTGATGGAAACGGCAGTAATACTGAGACTTGTACTCCAACCAATCAAACCCTCTCATGGGGTTCTTGACCTTTGTACCTGGAGCTGCTTTTCATGCAATAAAAGCCACGATGGGAGACAGTAGAGGCAGTTCTTGAGTAAAATTACAGTGAAGGGAACTATTCATCATCTTGCAGTGGGTACTCCTCTTCCATACCTCGTCTCAACTTGATTCAGTGTCGTCAGATGACAGTCTGTTCCCCTCGACTCTTTCTGCAGCCTCCGTAGATGATCGACAGGAGGTAGCTCAGGCAGCACAGACAGGCAAACACGGCCGCCGTCAGGTAGACCTTATACAGGCAAGAGTGCTGGTACTGGTCCAGGTTGCAGTAGGAGTAGCTCTCCGTCTTGTAGAACATGACGCCGATGGCCGGCAGGTAAAGCGCGGCGGCGGCCACGTCGTGCGTCAGGTTGGTGCAGAGCCAGCGCTCTCCTCCCAGCAGAGGAACCAGGTCCTGCTTGTCCAGGAGGGTGATGAAGAACAGGGCGAGGGTGAGGAGCCAGAACAGGACAGCCACGAACAGGACGAAGTGGACGGGGCCGTCGTACTTGTTGGCAGCAACCGTGATCCACAGCCCAGCTCCGAACAGGATCTGCAGGATCCGGGAGATTCCCAAGAAGCTCCGGAGGAACTTGGAAATGTTGCTCCTCACCTGAGGCTGGGGAAGTTGGGGTGCCATCTCTCTCTCTCTCTTTTCTCTCTCTCTCTCTCTATCTCTGTTCTCAGTTCTCTTCTCCGCTCAGACTCGAGCTTTTTTTTCTTCTCCTTCTCCCGATCAGGGCGGGTGTTTTTTGCCAGCTGCAAACAGCTGGAGAAAAGATGGTGAAAAAAAACGTGTAAGTAAAGTAGTCTTCACAGGAGGATCTGAGGCCCAAAAAAGAAACCAAAGTTCGGGAATAAAGAGGGGACTCTCTGTTCTTTCCACAGCCCGGGGTTTTGAAATGACCAGCCTTCTCGCAGGCTATGTTTCGTCTTTTCCGTTTCCTCTGTTGGGTCCACGGTCTGTGGAAGGGGCGTCCTGTAATTCAAGCTCCACTCCGCCTCAGACTCGGAGACGCAGAGACGGGCGTCTTTGTCCACATCCATCAGTCATGCTGGGAGTGGCAACTTTGCCTTGGAGATCAGGATAACGGGACCAAACCTGACGTTCAACCGATTTTATAATGATAGATGGCAACATCATGATAAACAATATTGACGTTATTTATTATAATATTAAATAACTATTAAATGCCTATTATTGTTATTACTTCTACTATAAAAAAAATCTGAATGGAGCAAAAAGTCATTTGAAAGGATTTAAATCATATGTTATAGATTCAATACACATAACGTGAGCTATTGAAGTGTTTGTTTAAGCCTTGAGTTAAAATGTAATTAAAATAATAATAACTTTCTGTAAAATCCTAACTTTTACAGAAAGGATTTTATTATCTCTAATAACGATGATAATAAAAACTGCAATGTATTTCATTTTATGTGTAATAGATCCATATCGTATGAGTTTCACCTTCTTTGACAGAAAATGTCGAACTTTTGCACATGTTCTAACTTTTTTGGGTGATTTTGATGCGACCGAACTTGGTAGAAAAGGAAAGCGTATTGTTTTTCTTTTATTTTCTTTATTCCTTTCATTTCCAAAACGAAACCAGGACCTTATGTTCAGAACGTCTCACGGTGTGTGTCTCAACGAAACAGCCCCTCACAACATGGCATCGACATCGGCGTTTTCGTCCATGCACGGAGAAGTTGTTTTCTATAATCTATAAATCTATAAGCCTATGTGGAGCTTAATCGACTAATCAGTCTGCATCGCTATTGCATTATTTTTGACCGGTCACCTTTGGGGTTTTTCTCAATAAGGCCAGCTCTGTTGATAGAGCTCCGCTGCTCATGAGCTCTGCATGCGTCATCCCAGCGCAGGATCCTCACATGTTGCTTTCTTTCTCACATTAATGACAGCCGCTCCTCGCTCCAGCCGGGCTCATTGACGTCAATGAGCTTACGGCCTGAACGCCCGACGTGGCCAGTGGGCGGAGCCAAGCGCCATCCACGCCCCTCCGGACTCGTTATTGGCTGAAGCAGCAAGTTTCACCAGACTTCAGAGGGGGCGCATGCGCGTCGCTCCATTCCTATTAGTCTATTTTTACGTCATTGATTTATAAGTGACAGGCAACTGAAAGGAGCCAAATCGAAGCAGAAACAGAGCAGCAGCACCAGGGTGTCGACGCTTACTGGGGTTTCTGCTCTATTTAATAAACAGTGGAGTGCCGGTATATAGATGGACTAAATGTTCAGGTAAGCCCCCATTATTATTATTATTATTACTACTACTACTACTATTACTATTACTATCATCATTATCACTTTTCACATAATCAAACTTTTCATCCTTTCTTTCTGAAAGTAGTTTGTTGAATAAATGTTTATCCCAGCAAATCTTCATGCAACTATTATACATTTCGTCAAGTTTGAATGCACTGACTATTTCAGCAGCAAGGCAGTTCAAAGTACCTTGAGACGATTTCTTTGCAGGTGGTGGTTCTGTTATAAAAGAACAACCGTGGAGGGTCAAATGTTGCATGAGCTGACTGCAGTCACTGACTCAGTTGTGACTCACAACTGAGTCAGTTGTACTAGTTAATGTGTAATAGAGAAAGTGCGCTGTGCTCTAGCTTCATGCGCAACAGAGACTGCGCAGCTTGCAGCGCAACTAGAAGAGGACGCGAAACTCACTTTAATTAACAAACTAGTGGATACCGAGGCGCTGCTTTAAACATGGACATCTTTAAAATGACCTGCTTGAAATAAATAACTTTTCATTACCGTAATGAGAAGAATAAATGTGAAATAACTGCGATAGGGTTGAATGCAGTTAAAGAACATGCAGTGTCATGAAAAGTATCCCGTGATTTTTTATTTTATTTTATTTGTGCAGAGCTTATACAGAGTACATAACGTGTTAAGTCAAATACCATAGCAGGAATATAGACCTATTAGTTTTATAGTGAGATGAAATTTTGAATGTTTAAAAAGAAGAACTGGTTAAACTAAGACTTTAATGACCTGCCCGAAGACTCAGCATACAGACCCCTGGTGTAGATGCTTGTCCATGTCTTGGCAGGTTTGCAGCTGTCACAGATTTTTTTTATTTTTATTTTTAGATGATGGACTGAACATAGCTTTATGAGATGGACACTACTTTACCTGCTTCATTCTTCTCTACAACCCTCTCCCTGTCTGTTGTGTTTCTTAGGTTCTTATGATGCTTTTTCTTCTCTTATGTTCTCCACCAAACCTCTGAACAATACACAGAACAGTTGTACTCTATTTATTTTGAGAATAAATTCCACACAGGAGGACTTTATATGTGTGTGCACTTGATTTAATTCCTAGATATCAGAATAAACCCCCTGTCCTCCACTATTTTGTGGTGTATCAGATAAATAACATACTAAGAAAGTATATAAAAATTTGTGTTTTTCATATTGCAAAAATATAAAAAAGTTAATGGGGAATTGCATTTTTTTTACAAGGCACTGTAAGTTTTTTTGTTTATGTGTGTGACACGAACTCAAAAGTAAAAACTTTGGGACAATAAGTTGCTACTTTATTTTACATGGAAGGTACAAATATGTTTCCTGATGAAGCCATGCTTTTATTATATAGTCATATTCCAGTGTATTTGGAAAAACAGAAATACAGCAGTAATTAACTCATAATGAGAGTACATTTTGTGACTTTAAAATAACTGGCATTTACCAAATAAGGGATAAATTTACATTTCAGGAAGCGCTCTGACTTTACATTCTCTGGTCGTATTCTGTCGTCTTATCTGTTGTGTAAAGAGAAATTTTGTGCCCCATTTCTTTAACATATTTTTATTTGAACAGCTGAGCAGAAAGCACTTTGAGCAGAAAGCAGTCACTCGGTTGTGACTTTTGCCATTCACTGAGCACCGAGTTATGATTGTCCCGCTTTTTAACAGATGTGCCTAAAGGGAGACAAAGTTACCATCTGAAGTGTAATGGGCTTTAAAGTGTTCATCTTCACTTGCCTTCAAGCAGGATTAAAGAGTCGGAGCTGATTGGAGGATTCTCAGCCAAATGACAGCTGCTGTCTTGTGGTTTTACTTATTCCCATGGAGTGAGGATGTGGTTTTGTACCCATTTCCTGGCTCAGCAGGACTCACTTCTTTGTCATTGATAAAGCACCAGAAGCAGATAAATTTGACGAAGTCACTTGTTGTATAGCCTTTCAACCTTTTCTCTTTTGGTCAACACATTTATCTGAAACAATTCCTCCTCTCCCCCACAGAATAAAGCCTGTATAAATCGTGTGTCTGCCACCTCTACCGCCTCTCTCTGGATGGATACTAGATCTGCCTCCGCTTCTCCCTCTGTGGTGGCCGGTCCTTCCTCCTTGTGGCGTCTGGCCGAGAGGAAGAACAGGAAGTCTGGCTCAGGAAACATTTTCAGCACCGTGAACCTGTGGCAGCTCCAGAGGTTGTTTAGGGCAGCTGGAGATGAGGATGCCGAGCAGAGGGCCCAGCTCGTCTGGGGACACAGAGACGAGGCTAAACTCGCTCAGGCCTTAACAGCGCTTCGGAGTCGAGGTCACCGCAGAGCGCTTAGGACCAACGGAAGAGATGCGATGGGCTCGCACTGGCTGCGAGCCTTCAGCCACCTCAGGTACAACCACCCACATATTAGGGAGGTACTTATCTAAGTCACATACCCCCCAAAAAATACCACATGGGTTTCCACTTCCTAAAACACACAATTAGCAACAAGATGGAACAAAACATTGATTTTTAATAGTCACCCAAGGTTGCATATGAGAAAGATACAAATATACTAAAAAGACAAAGTGAATTTCCCCACAGAGGAACAATAAAGGTTATTTGTATTTCTATTCTGTTCTAACATTGGCCGACTCTCATGTTAAAACCAATGTATCATGCATTGCTATATACTAACCTTTCCCCTGTAATGTCATCCCTAACAACGATCTCTGTTGCTTAGGATTGGAGAGACCTCTCCGAGGAGACAGGGAAAAGACGCTGGCGAGGACAGGGATTTTAGAGCTGAGACAAAGAGAAGTCCAGAGTCCTACAGACACTCCTCATTTGAAGCGCCTTCAGGAGAGATTTGTGTCGAATCGGTGTTAACTGAGAAACAAAACCCTGGTGGAAACTTTGACAGAGCAACTAGAACCAGCTCAGGACTGAGGAGGACAGGAGAAAGTAATCCAGAGAGATACCTGCACCGAATACTTCACTGAGAAACAAAGAACAGGAAGATGTCCAGGACAGAACAAGGATGTGTATGTTTGGCCTTTCCTTTGCTGCTCTCTCTCACTGTACTATCACCTGTTGGAAATGCAGTTCCACTAGTATCTTCGCCTAAACCACAGACTGATTCAAACCATCTCATAGCTTTAAAGAAAGGTTGTTGCCCACCTTCTGTTTGTTCTTAAATTCATATTAGTAGTAACACTAAGATGCATAAGGAGAATAAGATGATTGGCATAAAAAATGTAGGATTTTGTTTTATTAAAATGTATTTATTTGGAAAAAATATATCACCAAATCTATTACTTACTGAAAGCTCAGGTTGCTAATAGACCAAAAATAATATGTTGAAGTGCTTTTGTAAAAACAAGCACTTCTCTCATCTGGAGATTGGAAAACATGTCTGGGATTTTTGTTAGTTTTTTTCCATAAACTTGAAATGCTCCATTTTGAACTCTGGGAATAAAATCTTTTTGATTTTTATTGTCTGTCATTGTCTATTTATCACAACATAATGTAACAGAAGGCCTAATTTAAGCACATTACCATATTATTTTCATCTTTTCTACTTTTAGTGTGGTACAAGAATATTTGTAGTTTTCAGAAAGCACAACTATAAAAACTACAAAGAGATCCCATTTTTAAATAATTTATTGGTATTGTGTTTTATGTTGATGCACTGTTTTCATAAACCTTTTTGTGTTTAGTTTGAGACAATTTAAGAATATAGCAAAACACACCTACATCTTAACCTCACACCTGCTTTCATTTAGCTATTCTGGGTTCTTTTTCTCAGTATTTGAACCTCATAGTTCACATTGTTCCTAACTGCAAGGGAATTTAAAACTGAACCAGACCTTATGAAATGTTTAAACAAATGTAAAACTTGGAATCAAAAGAAGTTTTACAAAGCCACATTATTGTCTGACTGTCTTACTAGCTATGGTGCCCTCTGTTATATCAAAAGGACTTGTGTCAATATATTTTTGTCAAGGAGTACAATAGTTATCACTAACACATAGTTTCATATGAAATACAAAATGGCACTTCATTTGGGCTGATCAGATTTGCAGCTAATTTCTACAGGTGTGGAGGTCAAAGTAAAAAAACCCTAAAAAACAAAGAATCGTAACATGTTTTAAGAGCAGTCCTTCACTTGATATCAATAGTTCTGAAAATTGTGAATCTTTACATCAACTCCAGGCTCAGGTAAAAAAAAAGAAAAAAAAGAAAAATTAAATCACTTGACAGACTTCATTTTTGGGAGGTAACCATTGAGGTGAAAAACTTAACTTGCCCAAAAATGTACACATATGTTTTAGATTGATCAATTATACAGTACATTAGTTTGTACTTTTGATATCTATTTATAACTCAGAATGGTCATTTTTTTCAACAATAAGCAAAATTGTCAAATAAACTTTTAGGGGTTCTATGCTAAATATCACAGTAAAGGTGGGGGGGATTTATTCTAAAAACTAACCTCTGCTAGTGAAAGCTCTGTTATGCTGAACAAAATGTGTTATAATCAACAGCTGGCCTAATGAGAACATGTGTAGTGATTGATAAAGGAGAGATATCTTGACCTAAAAAAATGGTGTATTATAATAAAAAGTCTGTCTTATAAATAACGACATTTATTCATTTATTTATTGTATTTTATCTATATATACAAATATGCAGAGCAGGTATTTAAGAAAACAATCCATCAGAGAAGGGCAGCACATGTTTCAGCAGAAACATTTGCTGCCCTCTCACGCTCATGTTTATTTGTCATTCTCATAGCTATGTCAACTTTTAGACACTAGATGGCGCAAAATGTTTAGTTTTGAAGGGGGAAAAATAACTTGACCGAGTTAGAATTGGAAACAACTCAAATTTTAGATTTTTCCTCAAACTTTTTACCAATCAAACTTGACTTGGTACTGTAGACCTTGTATAAGATTTTAGAAATTTGTAATAAATGGGCTGTTTTATGGTTTCACACAATATACCTTCTGAACAAACAGCTCCAGTCTATTAATTCAATAAGTGTTTTAGTTTTATTATAGTTGCTTTCCCCTTTAGATTGTGTGCGGTTTTAAAGCTACCATAAAAGACCCGTTTTGGCCACGTGGAGCAGAAAGAGGCTAATATTGAATCGGGGATACTGTCCTCTTTGTCCTGGATTGACTTGGCTGTGCCTGCTTAGCTGGAGCCCTGACAGGCCTGAGGCCACTATGGGGTGGCTTTATGAGGTGCTGAGAGCTCATCTGATTCCCTCAAACCCACAGAAAGCAGCTGAGTGGCTCGGAGAAAATCCCCTATGAGTTGAACTTCTCACCTTGTTGTATTTAAATAAGCACGGTGCACGGAAGAATTTATTTTCTCTGTGGGCTATTTAAGCTATTCACATATGAACTGATGATCCAGCAATGAAATATATCTACAGCTATAAAATCTCTCTTTTTCATATTCACAGTGTATGTACATTTTCCTTTCTACGGAATAAGCTTTTTTATTTAAACTTTATCATTCTCTGTGTAGATGTGGCACTTGTTTTTCAGCAGGTTTTAAGCTGTTGTCCTGTGTGAGGGACCAGACTCAAACGAGGACAAAAAAAGAGTTCAAAGTAGAAAAAGTTCAATTTAATTCTTCCAAAAATAGTAAACAAAGCATAAAGATTTAATGCCAGAATAAGTCAAAAAGGACAAATAACAAATTCGGGCCCAATTTGACTGAGGTCAACTGAACTGTAACTGAACACAAACAAAATTTACCGGCAAACAAAAAACAAAAGGCTGTTTGAATGGGGGGTGGAGTAACCTAGAGCTACCACATGAGGGAGGCACAGCATAACAAAAGGACAAACAAATACAAAATTAGCTATGAAACAAATAAAGCAAAACTAACTTTAACTTAGCACAAATAATAAATGACAAAATTAACTAATTAAGATCAACTTGAAACACAAAGTCTCCCCCCCTTCAGTCTTTCAGAAAAACAAATGGTTTGTTCCAGGTTTCCTCCTCCAGCTGGTTTGTATCAGCAGCATGTCAAACAAAAAAAACAAAAAACAAGTGTAAGTAAACCATTCAGACAGACATTAACTAAAGTGTTAAGCCATTAGAAAATATATGTCTAAATGAAATAACTAACTTAAACAGACTATGAGCTGTAAGTAATATAAATTTAAAAAAATACTAACACGATGTGGTAGTGGTAGGAGCATCCACCACATCCTGCTACTTATCTACAAATAAATACCTAATAATCCTGTTTATATTGATGGTTTTGCAGATGTCGTTAATGTATGCATGTTGAAAAGATTAAAACTGGTTTAATGAGCCAATAAAACACATGTGTTTAAGATTAGCAAAAGCCTAAAACAGAATCATTTTCTCGAGCTGACTCACTGATGTTTCATATTATAGTGTGAGTTATTAGTTTAAGTTTCGTGTCTTGGCTTTGATCTCTTTGCTCCACAGCCACGCTGTTCAACATGACACGGAGTGATGAGTGAATCTCTACCCTCTGGAGCAAGGGCGGAGAGGTTATCTGACCTCGGAGCCCGATGAGGGTGCTGGCCTGGTGGAGGGGGTAAAGAGATCCAAGCAGTCGTTGGCATCAGCAGGCAGGCAGAAAGAAGAGCTTGAAAAGCGGAGTGCAGCAGAATGCCTGGCAGTTTAAGTAGACAGCTCAAATTGTCAGAGTGTGCATGATATATTCCACAGAGTGTAAGAAAGCGCACATGTGAAGCTGCAGCCAGCTCGAGTTGGCTGTCTGAACTGGCTTGCAGGTTTCACCTCATTTATCATTTTCTGTTTATATTGCAATTACTCTCTATTTTGTTTTAACTTTCATGTAAAATATCATGGATTTTATGATTGTAAGATAGCAAAATATGGTCACTTTAAACTAGAAAAAATAGTTGTGCATGTCTCCTGACCTATGACCTGTGACCATGACATAGATTAACAATTTTTTCAGTTTCAATGTTGCTTAAATCTTCTTTAATCCTATTCCTATAAGGAATCTTTCCTAGAATTCTGAAAGATTGAAGCATCAAGCTGTGATTTCTTTGTGCTGCGCTGCTGCCTTTCAGGCACATTTACATCTTAACAATTTTCTAAGTTATGTGCATATGAATGAACATCAAAATTCTGAGTGGAGATGAGGTTTTAATAAAATTTGACAGAGGAAAAAGCTTCTCTGTGCAATGTTTTTGGTTATAAGCCTTTTGTTCTGGAAGTCTCCGCACACAAAGAAAATTAAATTGGTGCCTAAAAATAAAGCAGCATATTGGTTCTTGGCAGAAAAGCATTTATCGTCCAGCTGTCCACTGATTAGCCCAGTGGTACTTAAAACCCAAGTGTCTTTGCTTTTCTTTCTCAGCTTTTTTTTCAGAAGTAAATTAACTAAAACATGACAAACACTGCCCGTCTAATCTCTTGCAGCCTGCCCTAAAAACTGCAGCAGACTATTAACTTTGCATCTACTTCGCATTTTTGATTAAATCCTGCTTTGTGGGGTTCATAAATTGGATTTTGCCCTCCTCTTGTCATATAAATCAGCCCAGCAAATGTCATTTTGGTTGACAACTTTTCATGAGGTCGTTCCGACGGAGACGTATACTCTGATGTCAAATATAAAAGGCTCGCTTTTACAGTCTCACCTTCCAGACATTTTTTTTTGTGTGCAGATGAGGCGAGGCAAAGCAAAACAGACAAACGACAAAGAACAGAGATGAGTGACAGATGCACAGGGAGCACTGGCAGCAGATCTGATTTTCCATGGAAGAAAATAGAAATGTTCCTGTGCATGACTGACAAAATAAAAAAGTTTATGGAGTGATTTTAGATAGGGAAGGATCTGAGGATTCAATGTGTCCCTGCTGCACCATAATTAGAGCAGGGAAAGGTAATTATGTGAGGGTACATACAGAATAGGTTCCCTGTTCTCTGATAATGATTTCTAACATGCAAATACAAAGCCATGGAGCTGCACTCTGCATCTTCTTTCAAGGTAAAATCACACAACACTGCAGCGAAGCCATCATTGTTTGTCCTCAATTTGTGTGTCAGTATCTGGCTTTGCTCTTATTTTGGGCTCTGATTCTCCAAACACAGGCGTGGCACTCTACTCCCGTTCGTCTTTGAGGTTCACACAGACGTCAAGCATGATTCAACAGAAGAGTCATCCAGAACAGAAGGCAGCATCTTTTTTCTTAGCATATGTTTTCCACTTTTCAAATACAAGTCACTTGGTAAGACGCATAAGAAAGATCTTATATTTAAAACCGTAAAGAGAAAACTAGAGGTGTACAGTAAGATACGTTTTTGAAAGAAAAATGTAATTTGTCAGAGGTCACCAAAATGCAAACCACCCCCCAAAAAAACAGACTCAACTCCTTTCATGTAAAACCATTTTGTTTGCTGTCATGCTTTGCTGCTTTCGTGCCCCCGAAAGCCCGGGCTGTTGAGAAAGATAACTTCAAATCAAAT